GGTAACGTGTGTGCCATAGTTGTTTTGATGCAATCGACCCGAGTTCGAATCTGCCTTTTGCCGAACTTTTTTTTCTCCTTTTTCAAATCTCATATCGCATCGGAAAGGCATTTATTTTCAATTAAAATTAAGGAAATATTAAAAAAGTTGAAGTATCGGGTAGGGTTAGGATAGGTGTAGGGAGGGCTTTATTGTCCCAATAAGGTGGCATCCATTTTTTAATTTGAATTAAAATGATCATTTACAGTCAATACGTTATTATTGCATACTGTTTTATAATTGACTACAATATTGAGGTGCAGACAATTGCCACTATTTGCAATAAGTAGCCTAGTATAAATAGCAGAAAATCCTGCTATTTTATCATAGTGTAAATGGAATCTATAGCTATTTGCACTTGGTTTAAATAGCATATCGCTAAGAAAATACTGCTATTTATACTTAGTGTAAATAACATCTATTGCTATTTGCACATAGTGTAAATAGCCTCTATCACTATTTACACTTAGTGCAAATAGCTGCTGCCATTGATTTTTGATTCAATTTATTATTGTTTATTATAATATTTAATATTTTAAAATGTTTTATTTAATGTGTGCAATCTTAGTTTGTATATTTTTTTGTAAATAATACATTTTAATGACAATTTATTTATTTATTTACTTTTATGTTTTATTAGAGTTCTATTTTGACCCCTATAGTAGGTGTTTTTTTTTTTTTTACTTCCATAATATTTGAGGGAGGGGGGGCACAACAATACAATCCTGCTTAGGGCACCTATTTTACCGGCAGTGGTCCTGTCCATACAACAATACAATTCTGCTTAGGGCACCCATTTGGCCAGCAGTGGCCCTGGACAATACTTGTTCTCAACTTCTTTTATTGTCCAAACAGACGGTGTGTGTGTGTGTGTGTTTGTGTCTAGTGAACTTTTTGTAGAAATTGCTCATGTTCTGACTTTCACCTGTTGCTGCAGATAGATGGCTGCTGGTGTAGTCCTCACTGGCCCTCTCTGGCTGGCTCTGACCTGTGCTGCCAGGTTCAGGGCTGCTAATTTGCTGGCCAACTTGGCCCTGCTTGGTGGTTTGGCTCTGACCTGCACTGCACTGTGCTGCATCTACCTGTCTTTGACAGTTTCTTCTTGAAGAAACCTTGATTGTATTGCTGCTGTTGGCCCCTTTTAATTTTTTTTTACACAAAATTCTGTCTTAATCATCAGTATTACACAAATAGTAAATTTAATAGACATATTCTCATCTGATTAAAGACAAAATAATTTAAATGTGAAGCTGTTCTTGGACATTGCAAACAAAAATAAAAAAAATATAAGACTACCACACAAAAACGTTTGTTTATGGTCTGTTCAGTGGTTTTTATTTATAAAAAGAGAGATGAGTTGTCAAGGCACTTAGTGCCATTTTTATGTCATCCCACTTGTGTTGGGGCACATGACTTTTCCCATGGGCCACCCCCTGACTGGTTCTTGGTCCCCCCTGTGCCACCCCATTTAAAAAATCCTAGAATCGCCCGTTTATACGACGGCTCCAGTGGCGTAGGTAATAATAAAGGGCATCATTTTAGCAGTTTTTTTTTTTTTTTTTACGTGATCGACACTAGTTTGAATCCGCCTTTTGCCAAACTTGTTCTTCTCCCTTTTCACATCACATGTCACATCGGACAGGAATTCATTTTAACAGAAAAGAAGGAAATATTCGAAAAGTGGAAAATAACATGCCTCACAAATAACATGCCTTCTTGGTTAAGGTTATTACAAAGAAAATACTCCTATTTTTACATAGTGTAAATATTGCTATTTCCACTTAGTGTAAATAGCATCTATCGCTAAGAAAATATGCTATTTTCACTTAGTGTGTATAGCATCTAATTGCTATTTATTTACACAGAGTAAATAATAGCATATATCACTATTTGCACTTAGTGCCCTGGCCACTATATTGTCTGCATGTCATGTCTTTTATAAATGTCTTTTTTTGCATTTATTTTTGCACTCTGCAGCTGCCGTGGAACTGCAGTCTGCAGCGTCATTTTTTATTTTGTATTTATGTTTTTAACTACGTGCGTCGCCGCGCCAACTTTATTGTTGTACAGGTGCTGCAGTAGCCTACATGAAGTGTTTCTGTTGCTTCATGAAAACGTCTCTGAAACCAGTGGTGGCTGGTGAAACATTTTCTTGGTAGAGCGCCTCATCCAGAAATTTTAGCATACATCCCGGTATGATTTTTCCCATTATAACAAAAGGAGTAGTAGTAAGACTTGAAACATTTTAAATAAAGGTAATTGTTTTACCAAGGTAAAGTTGAGGATGATTCCCACAAAACTATTTTCTGCAAGATTTTTTCAAGATAAATTAAAACATTGTTTAATCATAATTCACAATTTACTATACAGTGTAACAACAAAAACTGAGAATTTTGTTTTCTTTTTTACATTTGTTTAGAGAGGATTTTCTATACATACAGTATAGAAATAACTTCAAGTCAAGCTGCAATACCAAACACGACCACACGGAGACGCAAACAGACCACTATATCAGTCGCCTTAACCTGACTGTATATATACCGATCCATTCCGAATTGTTAAACAGAGCAAAACTAAATAAAATTAAATAAAAAACATCCTGAATCTGTCGAATATGGTGATCTGAAAGCAGCTCCACATCAACAGTGAACAGTTCTCTGTCAGAGGGAGTGTTTTTTCCCATATGCATATAAACACCACTGACCGCAGCAAACTCCTATAATAACACGCTTCTTCAGCGAGTGTCCATTACAAAACACTTGCCAGACATGCGACCATACTGAAATGTGCTCGTGCAAAAAGTTATCAGAGAGCGCACAGACACGGTCTGTTTGTTTGCACATTAATACGACTCCTGTACGTCACAGTAATCGACTTTACCTCCATTACAATCGTCATCCATCTAAACTTTACTGGTTTGCTTTATTTAGCCCATATAGACTATTTCTTATTTACAGCTTGTTCCCACCAATCGCTGCACATGTACGGGTTACATATGAGGACGAAAGCACCTTAGTGCTCGCCCTCCCGGAACTCATAAATTACATTGCAGTGCCTGCAGTTCGAAAAAAATAAAAAAAATCTTTGTATGGAAGTCTGTGAGAACAGTCTGGGCGATTCTCGGCCAGATTGTGAAATTGCCCAAAAAGGGGCGGTACTCCACAGAATGTGACTTGACGCTGATTGGACTATACAGTATATCCAGAGGCAGAACAAGCAGTCTAAGCAGTGACAGCTGTGATAGAAAAAATTTGGTGGTGACTCGCCCAATCGCCCTAATGAAGAAACCAATGGTGATCAATACCATGTTTGCTTTTACATGTACATGTATATTCTTTGAACAATCCCTGATGCACAATATAAATACCATGGTTCACATGAATTTGAGTAGCATGATGGTAAAGCCATCCGATATATCATTCTGGTCTAATAATTATCTCCTATTATGGTAATAATACTTACAAAATTTGGAACACAAGAATCCAAACATACTGTTCCAAATATTGTATAGTGAGTTAAGCAGATTTTAATCGTACTATTCCTGCTATTGCCATAAACCACTTTAACCATAACAACATAAACTAAACACTTTTGTTAATGTGTCCTGCGTTTAAAAAATAATCTGTATATATGATTACACCATAATTCGTCACACAAAGACTAGACACTGAAGTATGTGGTTTGTGCTTTAATTGATCACCACCCCATCTTCTCTCCCATTCAAGGCAAATGTACACACAAAGTAGCTACAGATGCTTTTCCTGGGTATAAGACCACCAGTTTAATAAAAGAAAAGGAGTTCCTTATTACATTATGAGATGCACAGTATCTTAGAGACATTTCAGAAAAATATAATAAAACAATGACACCACGAGACTTCTTGCAGAAAGACAAGGCTTTGGTAATGACACAGCAAGATCTCTTCGTAACAAAAAGAGAACCCAGAGCAGGGATCTCAAATGTGTTTTGCTCAGGATCTGTAGTGATATGTACGGTAGAACATGTTTTGACATCATATCCTGTGGAACAGAACAGGATCTAGCCCATGGTTCCTTTCCTAAACCTTTGGAACTAAGAACAGGGAGAAAAGTACTCATTTACACTGCATAACTTATATATACAATTTTTATGTGTATAAATATAAAAATACACAGAGCAACAATTTACAATGTTTTTTCTTGGGAACTTGTATAATGAACGGTTAGCGTACATGATGATCCCCCTCGTAGTTTTGGTGAAAGAAAGCATAAAATCAAAGTCCCTGTGCATTCGAATGCCCTGTGCCGCTCAGAATGAGAAACAAATCCACACAATCATAAATAAAGACATCATTTCAGGAAGAAAATACTCAACTTGTTTCAGCTACCATTAAAAAAAAAAGTCTTTAAATAAATGAAAGAGGAGTAAAAATACAGAGCTCCACTGCATCATTAGATTCTCGGTTGTTTAAAAGGCACCAGACAAGTGCATCCTGAACGAAAAATAATAAATACAGCACAAAGTGTCAAGGCAGACTCAACCAGTCACCACCATAGACGGAAGAGAGAAAACATACACACAAACATACAGTATATATATAAAAAAAAAAAAAAAACTCACATCCTACACAGGTACGTCTCGTGAAAATACACCCCGATGTTACCAATAAATCAAAAGAAATAAGAAATTATATTTTGCATAATAAAAAACAGCCAGTTTTTAGGCCATTTAAAATTGTTGCCATGTTCATGAGAATTAAACACGTTTCCCCCAAAAATTCCTTTTACGTTCAAATATTTTTGAATTTGTCATTTTCATTGTTTTAATTGCATTACTGTAAAAATTGTAATTACATAAAAATGACTATAATGCAAAGTCATGCATTATTTCTTCACACCAGCATAAAGGCAGCGAAAAAAATACTATTATGATGTTTAATTATTATTAGACATTAGGGCTGCACGATTAATCGCATGCGATATTTAACGCGCATCCTCCTCCCCGTCATAATCCTCGCACTCGATGGGCTTGGGACAGCTGTACGGGTGGCCGTTATCGTCGAAGAAGCGGCGGAAGGTGAACTCGTAGAAGGCGTGCTCCGGGTGTTTGCCGTTCTTGAACCAGCGGTTGAGCGTGTCGTTGTGGTTGCTGTCAGCATCGTCGCTCCAGAGTTTGTCGGGGTCAACGGGGTCAAAGTTGGAGGTGTCAGTGCAGTGTGTGATTTTGGGAATGTAAGGCGCATAGTGTTGTTGCCGCAGATCTGTGGAGAAGTCGATGCTTTTGAAGAAGGGATGGGCTTTAATCTCATCAGCTCCATTTTTCCCAAGCCGGTCTTCCGGGCCACGGCAGAGCTTCAGGATCAGGTCGGTGGCCTCCGGACTCAGCTTGGCCTGCAGGGGAATGTGTAGGGTCGTCTGCCAGTTTATCACCTGAGACGGACACAACCACAAAGCAAGATGATTTAACTCCGTGTGTAGCTACGCAAACATACAGCTGATAACTGCACTGACTGACAGCATCTGTTGCCCAATATTAACTAGTTAATGCTGCATATATGTGTTACAACATGATGAGACCAAACACACATCCACCTCTAAGGACCAACATGTATTCTCACCTTCATCTGGGTCTCAAGAGGAGTTGTTGCCAGAAAAGGAGGCTGACCGACTACCATCTCATAGAGGATAACACCCACACTCCACCAATCACAGAGCTGGGTGTAACCTAGGATAAAAAAAATAAAAATAAATAGATAAAACGATCATATCACTTCCATCAATTTAAAGGGTCGTAAAATCTCAAGATTACAGCAGCATACAGTTCTGTTGTACCTTACAACACAGTTTAAACGGCAAACGAGCAACGTGACTCGGAAACTAGTTCAAAACTTCATAATAGTATGTGCACCACCATTATAAATCAAAGAGACAATCTGTATCGCGCTGTATGTGTGCAAATAAATCAGTTACTGTAATCCGATTACTAGGGCTGGGACAATAAATCGATGCATCGCGAATCGAGAAATGATTCTGCATCGATTCTGAGATTTTCCCGAAGGCATCGCTATTCTCTCTTGAATTGATTCTGAGCTTAGTTTTTAACAGCAGAAGGCACTGCATGCTTTAGAAATAGCTGTATTCTGCTTGCTTCCAGTTCCTTACACACGCACCATTTGAACCTAAATTAAAGTTCATAAAGTTCGAAAAGGTTGAAGCGAATTACAAGGATGTTCACAGTGGGCTGTGTTTACATTAATCTCGCATCATAAAAGCCAATGTGCAAGTACATTTAACCACTTACATTACTCAGCCGAACGCACAAGCACTCTTCTTCGTGAGCATTTGAGTGTGCGGTTACAAACTAGCCTAGAGCACCATCTGATGTTAAAAACTAAGCTCAGAATCGATTCGAGAGAGAATCACGATGCATTCCGAAAATCTGAGAATCGATCCACGAATCACAATGCATCAATTTATTGTTCCAGCCCTACCGATTACAGGAATTCAAAATAATGCAACTGATTTCCATCCATTTGCTGTGTTGCCCCATTAATGAGAGTACAAAAAGCAACACAGAGTAAACATGATAGTGGTTTCTGCACAAAACACTGTGGTACATTCAAGTTTACTCCACATTCAATGAGTGTGTTTAAAGGGGTCATATGATGCAATTTCAAGTTTTCCTTTCTCTTTGGAGTGTTACAAGCTCTTGGTGCATAAAGAAGATCTGTAAAGTTGCAAAGACTAAAGTCTAAAATCCAAAGAGATATTCTTTATAAAAGTTAAGAGTCAACCACGCCTACCTGATATGGAGGACTGTTTCCTGATCCTGGTAGAGTAGACAACAATGTTCTGTTCTGACTCACAGACTGTAAGTATGTATCCTTCAAAGGATTTGCCACTGATGATTCAAACGCGAGTTTTGAGCAGTGTAGAGTAGCGCTTGTTGTTTGTAATTTCTCC